GAAAACATTACATGATTAAAAATTCAGTTCTGTTTTGCATATAGGTCCTTTACATTTTTTGGCAATTTCAACAATATTACAGGATGGACTGGAACATACTGTCATATTAGGAAAAATGTTTGTGTTAGTGCACCCTGCAAAAACAAAGCTACATGCTACAGCACCAGGGAAACATATCGTTGTGTTTGTAACGATGGTTTTACAGGTATGTTTCATATCACATTTAGAATTAATTCAATACCTAATTAGTCTCACTCTTCGTAAAGTTCTGCACGGTTTAACTTTTAGTGTCATGTTTCGGACCATAATATGCTAACTGAACATTGCTATAATACCTCAACATTGCTATAATACCTCAACAGCTATTAGATAAGTTTTATGTTATTGTTCATTATTGTGACAAAACTTAACTATTGAGATTCATAAAGGCTGATGTTTGACCATTCAAAAATTAAGTATACCTTGTTTAATCCCGCCATATTCTTTATGGGCCTGTCCCAAGTCAGAAGCCTGTAGTTTAGTGGTTGTCGTTGGTTCATGTCTGTCATATTTATTTTTCGTAAATTGTTTTGTTATAAATTAGTTAGTTTTCTCAATTGAATTGATTCATACTTTTCATGTCGGGGTCTTTAACATGTTTATAGCCGACTATACGGTATGGGTTTTTATCATTGTTGAAGGCCGTACGGTTGCCTATAATTGCTTATATCCACTTTATTTGAACTTTGGTGGATAGTTGTCTTATTTGCAATCATACCACATCTCCTTATTTTTATCTTGTCAACTACATGATCGATGTTGAAATAAAAAAAAATATATTATTTTAGGTCGACAATGCGAAAAAGAAATAAACGAGTGTGCCAGTTTTCCTTGTAAGAACAATGGGACATGCGTAGACCTTATAAACAATTACAAATGCACGTGTCCATATGGTTACAGTGGCGAAGATTGTGACTCGTTAACTGACTTATGCAAGAAAACCCATTGTTTGAATAACAGCACATGTGTGATGGACTCTAACGACGTGAAGTTTCATTGCGAATGTGGTAAGGGTTGGAGTGGTCATCTATGTGGGACTGATGTAAATGAATGTGAAAGTAATATATGCCAACATAAATCAACATGCGAAAACACGATCGGTGGTTTTCGATGCCAATGTACTGATGGTTGGACTGGTAACGTGTGTAATGTTAACATAGATGAATGTAAAACGGGATATACCGGAAAGCTGTGCCATGAGGAGATCGACGAATGTTCAGGAAATCCGTGTCTTCATAACGGATCTTGCTTTGATTTGGACGGTGCTTTTACGTGTCATTGTACAGAGGGTTATTCTGGAAACGTATGTGATCTTGACATAGATGAATGTAACATCAGCCCTTGTCTTAATGACGGGATTTGTGTCAACACAAATGGAAGTTTCTATTGTCAGTGTTCTGGTTCTTGGAATGGCATATATTGTCAATCTGACGTAAATGAATGCGAGAACGATGTTTGTAAAAATGGAGGAGAATGTAGGAACTTCGACGGTAGGTTCGATTGCGAATGTAAAATGGGATATACTGGAAAGCTTTGCCATAAGGAGATCGACGAATGTTCAGGAAATCCGTGTCTTCATAACGGATCTTGTTTTGATTTGAACGGTGCTTTTACGTGTCAGTGTACAGAGGGTTATAAAGGCAACGTATGTGATCTTGATATTAACGAATGTCACAGTGATCCTTGTCGTAATGGCGGGATGTGTGTCAATACTTATGGGAGCTTTTATTGCCAATGTCCTGAAACCTCGAATGGAACATTATGTCAATTTGATGTTAACGAGTGTGATAACAAAATTTGTAAAAATGGAGGGGAATGTAAGAACAATGATGGTGAATTTAGCTGCACGTGTCCTGAGGGATTTAGTGGAGCAATATGTGAAGAAATCAATGAATGCTTTCAGGATCCATGTGCAAATGGGTCAACTTGCTTGAACGTTATTGGAAGTTTCCTGTGTCAGTGTTTGTATGGCTTTACGGGAAGAGATTGTTCAAAAAATATAAATGAATGTTCTCCACAACCATGCCATAGAAATGCAACATGCATTGATGAAATTGGACAATTCAAATGCCTTTGTCCTCAATACTATGTGGGACCAATATGCGCGGATAAAATTGAACCTTGTCAAAACATCAGTTGTTCATACAATGGAATATGCATTTCATCATCTAATAATTCATTCTTATGCAACTGTCATTCCGGATTCAAAGGTATACACTGTGAACAAGAAATACTACCATTTCAAACTGAAGACAGCGGAATAGTATGTAACGGTATGTTCTCCATATATTTTTGATTAAAAAAAATATGGAAACTTCCCTAGAACATTTTAATATCTATGCATTATATGTATATATACTTCCTGACTATGTTAATTATTTTGTTTCATTTTATTTTCTTTCACTTTTTAAACTGGAGCAAGTAAAATTTTGTCTGAGTTTGCTCCGACGTCTGACAGCTTTTTTGCTTTTTTTGGCGACTTGCTGGGGCCGTTAGACGCCAGAGCGCATTCGATTTTGAAATATTATTAAGTAACACAGAGTGAGAAAACGTTGAAAGTTTTGTAATTTAAGCTTACGTTAAACTATAAATAGCATCTGTACCTTTCAGTTTCCTTGTACTTTTTTTTTCCAATTATATTTCAGGCGTTAACGACAATTTTGTGATATATTTGGACCAAAATGTAACATCCGCCGTTAGAAAGAAGATTGTTTCGAAGATAAAATGGCTTATTCATAAATATACAGGATATGATGTAGATTCTTTAAATATAGATGAATCCGCAGATTTGCTAGAGACCAATAAAGGGTATATAAACTATGTTTTTTGTTTATAAAAAAGTATTTTGTTGAAAGCAGTGTATTACCTTTATGCATGAATACGTTTCGTTCAGTCGTTTTTTTTTTTTTTTTTTGAAAGACTTCCATTGGTTCTGAAATTACTGATATTTAATAATGTTTTGTCCCCTAAACGTTGAGTATCCGTACTACATTGTGTAGACTGTTTTAAATTGCTTTAATGTACTTTGAATTTGATACAATACGTTTATATGAATAAATTATTTACGTCTCAATTTCTTATTTTTGAGAATACACATCTTTTGTTTAAGAAAGAGCACCTTAAAAGGAACGTTTGAATAGCACGGTTCAACGAGTCAACTATGATATGTTGAAACATAAGTACATTTTTTTGTTATAATGTCATCGTTTGTTGTTTGTTTTTGCCTTTTCTGGTGATCTTTCTAAAATCGAAAATTTCAATATTTCTGTTTGTTTTAAAATTTGTTAATTTCACATAATTTTCATAAAAACTGAAATTATTCCATTGATTTACACTTTAACAGATCAATCGTATCTTAAAATTTAAGAAGATACCGAGATGGCAAAACACATATCAAAGAGAAAAACCAACACCATTACAGAAAAGATGATGAAATGTTAATGAAGAATTTTACAATTGATATTCCAAAAGTCAACCGATATGCTCCGAAAGTGTGGACAGTTCATTTCTGTACCATTTACCATTGTTTAAGTTCAAACAAACATATTAAATCAAATGGTTTAAAGACTGTCAATCTAAGCGAAGTTTCATCCACCATGTTGCTTTATTTCTTTCAGAGACATGATATCCAATGTTTCGCTATCTTTATCAATTAACGGTACAAAAGTGTGCGGGGAAAACTTGGAAAAGTTAATACGTCTTATAAAGAAAAATGAAAGTGAATTTCCATTTAATATATTCAATGGCAGTATTTATGACTTTACACAACCAGAAGATATAGCAGAACGGGAAAAAATTCTTAAGAAGGTATGTACACTTTATTCTTTGTTCCGCAAATTACAACGTATGCTCTTTAAAGGTAGAAACTAAGACTAATTGATTGTTTCTTGCTTTATGTCTAGTAGAAAATAAGAATCTATAGGCGTGTTTTCGCTTATTGTGGCATCTTATCTTTGAAGATAGATGGAAAAAAAAATATTTTAACACTGGGTTAGATCAGCTTGGTGGTTCTCTCTGTGTACTTCGGCTCTTCCACAAATAGAAAAAAGACTGCCATGATATAACTCAGTGTGCTGAAAGGGGCGTTCAAAGCCAACAATCAGTCTATTATCATTTATTCACATTTATGTTAATCAATATTCATGCAACACTCTCTGTGTAGTTCTCTTGTGATTTCTATTTCAAAGTTGTTTGTATTCTATTAGAAAGTTATATTACATGGTTTATGATAACAAGTTTGTTGGTGTTTCAATAGCAGTAAACATATTTTGCAGTATGAATAATGATTTTGAGTATAACTTTTAATGATTTCAGGCATGGTTGGAAGACAAATGGTATTTAATAATGATTGCAGTTGGATTGGTGGTCTTGATAGCTATAGTACTTTTTGTTCTATTTAGATATAATCGGTAAAATATATAGTCCGTAGATTAAGTTTATTTTTTACTTAATGAACATTTTTTTTATGTAATTTAAAATCAAAATTTTGATGATGTTCGTTTTTTGTAACATTTATTTGCGATCAACTCTCTTGCTGTTTTCATTTTGCGTTTTCTATTTTTCTATTGTTACAATTTACTCGTTATTTATTTTATTAAAAATTATCTTCAAATTTATAAAGATATAATTATAATGACATAGCTTTAATGTTTCTATCAAAATTTCACGATTGGATTGGTTTATAGTAATACCAATCACAGCGTTACAACAGTTCAAAGGAATATTTAAAACACAATGTAAACTATATTTATCTCGGGACGTAATAGTTTAAGAATTGAATATAACTATAAGAATGGTATACTTTTTTATTGGTATGGTAATTTTTTAGGGTTCTAAAAGCGTCAAAATATCTGTATGAAGCTTTTATAATAAGTGTTTCGGTCAACGCTTTTACGGCCATATTTAACTACATTAATGAGCATTCTATTTTTATATAATGTCCATATTTTCTATATTTTTAGTAAAAAACAACGACATTCCAGTATTAAGATTGTATATATGAACAGTTCATTTCAAAGGCAACAGTGCTACGAAGACACTACAATCACAAGCCGTTAATAATGTCCGTAACCAGACTGCTTCAACGGAACATTAATCGACATTCCGTCAGTAAGATAAAATATTTCCAACTGACCAGAAACAAGTACCAGAACAGCCAATCCTTTAGCTCTTGAACATGATATTCATCATAGCGCAACCTAAAGAACAAGACAATTACAGAATTGTTGAGTTTTGACAATTTTGACGAAGCTTTTCCTTTTTTTTTGTAATCTATTTATTGGCAAAAATGCATGTATCAATATGGTATGTTATAATTACGATAATCAGTCTATAGTTACATCGGCAAAATCAAGACAAATACATAAAGTTGGTTTGTTTTAATTATTTGACAATCTTGTGGATAAATAATAATGGTAAAAAAACCCAGGCAGTCTGAATTGTGATGATACTTGTATAATTATTCTTTTAGTCGGAGCCAGAGGTTCCAGCAGGAGTACGTTCTTTGCAATGCTTTATTGTTTTATAAAAACAGGATTTTTTTTTTCAATTAACAAATTTTCGTTAAGACAATTTTTAAAGTTACTATATTTACTTGTCCGCTTTGTATTTTTGTTCTGTATATATAAAATTTTAACAATATAATGAGGTTTCTTATGTAGTTTTTTTTCAGTTTTTTCGAAGATCCTAAATTAAACTGTTTCTAAGTAAAGTGGTAGTTCAATTTGCATTTTTGTATATATATCCATCCATTAAGCTCTTCCTATACGTCAAATAATTTTGAACAAGTCAAGAAAATGTGTTCAATTGAGTCAATACAGAAAGTACATTTATTGTTTTGTATAACTTTTATTTTGTAGAGAAATTCATATGTCCCCAAAATTCTGTAAGTGATACTGTATTGGCCACTGTAATTTTGAATTCAAGTTATGTAAAATGGCATTCTAAACACTTTATTCCAGATAATATTATGTCTATTTAGGATTGAAGACCACTTTTTCTGTGATGAGATATTTGTTGATTTATATTTTAGAACATTGTACATATTGATCATTTAGTACATTTTAAATATTGTAATAGTATTTCGTATAATTGGCCCATAAGGCTTAAAAATCTGATTACATTTAATATCAAGACTTTTCATTTTACATTCTGGAATATAAGAAAGTTGGAACCAATTGTATTTGTTTTTCGAAATTCTTGCCAGTTCATTAAATAAGAATAAGTAATAGTATGCTAGCTATTGAACGTGCTCGATACAATAAAACAGACTTAGAAAATAAAATATGTCCCTCATGTCATAAAGAGTTGGAAGATGAATTCGATTTTATCATAACATGTACATAACTGAATAAACATAGGATCAAAATGTTTAATGAAATTTCTAATATTGTTCCCTGTTTAATTCAATGAGTAATGAATACAAATTTGTTTTTATATTATCTTGCGAAGAATGTGATATATTAATTATCATTGTTAGCAGTATAAGTAAAATGTATAATCGTTTTGTTATTTATATGTTTTTCTATAGTAACAATCCTATTGTTTGGATTTTAAACAAGTACAATTCTGATTCTTATTCTTAAATGTTCATCATTGTTAATCAAATCATTAATTAACCAAGGCTAATTTTACAGTCCATTTTTTGCACAGAGGGCTTTGATTACCAACCTTTTGTTTATTATTCCAAATATTAGATGTGATTAAATTTTATTCGTTCCTAACAGCTACTTTAGTTTGGAGTTCTCTCCAATCCTTGTAAAAAACGAAGCTTTTCAGTGACTGTGTTACTCTTCCATATTACATGTCCATGTACAACGGTTTCAATTGTAACTATGCTCATTTACAACCATAACAAAAGTTAACACTCTATAAATATTTTTGTAACATTTTTTTTAGAAGAATCTGAACATTTTGTGTAATTATGAATATGTCCATTTTTGATTATTAAAGAAATAGTACACACAAAACACTTTCATTTTTGGCGGTGCTCTCATCACTTGGTGGTCGTCGTCCGTCGTCGTCGTCATCCATTTACTTTTACACAAGTCTTCTCCTCGGAAACTACTAAGCGAAATTTAACCAAACTTGGCCACAATTATCATTTGGATAATAGTTTACAAAATATGTCCAATGATCTCGCCTGCAAACCAACATAAACAGATAAATCAATTTAAATCTGACAGCGGTAGAAATGTTCATAATGTTGAGATCTACCTACTGTCTATTTACACCAAAACTGTCAGACGATTTCTTATCGAAGTGATTTCCCTTGAATGACGATTTTCCAAGATCTACAAATAAGAGACATTGCAGATATCGTAAATCAACTCCTTGTATGAGTATGTACCCTTTAATTACGATTATTACTATCTAAAAATGTGTCAATATGTCATAATCGTCTCCTTTTAGGGTTTATTTCCCCCATAAGTACGATTTTTACCATTGTTTTGCAATTTTTGCCAGAACTGTACTAAATAAAGAAAAACAGTAAACAGCAAACATTATTACCAAGACAATATCAAGTTTGGATTGCTTTTCTGGAACCACCTTCATCAGGTACGCTCAAACCAAACACATGTAATTTAGATTGTATCAATATTCAAGTACATATATGACCATAAGGAACCCTAAAAAGGTCGACTTTGTCTGAGTGTGTGGGAACCTTTATAATTTTCTATGCAAATATTTTTTCAACAAAAACAATTAAAAGAGCACCAGTAGTTTACCAATGTTCAAAACTTGTAAATCATTTTTGATGATACAAAAACCATGAGAAAAATCTTAGGGAATCACATGAACTCCGAACTAAGTGCGTTAAAACATCGTGCGAGCGAAGCAAATTTTTTTGTATAACTTCATGCTATCAACTGGACATTCATATTTCAAACCGTAAATGTCTATCTTGTACATTATCATGATTATTGAACAGGGCATAATTCAGTAATTCTTTCAAAATCTTCAAATGATACCTTTACCTACCAGTATAATTTAAACATTATGGTTTGATTAAATTTCAAATACATTTGAAACAGGAAAGCTGTGTATTTTTTTTTCGATTAAAAACTATATATAGGATACGTTTGTGACAGATTACAAATTCAGTGTATATTAACATTGCAAATATTCAGTTATATCTTTTTTTCAGATAACCTTTTGTGAATGTTAGTTTCTTTTTTCTTCTTAAGGGTTGAAATATCCACTTGTTAATCCTTTGATATACAATAGCCTTATCTTATTCGGTGTTTCTCAAATTGCTACAGACCGGCCATACGTTTAAGGCTTGTTATCAAATTTATTATTTATTTCATACGAGTAAACTGTGAATAACTTCATCATAGATGCTAGGAATAGAATTTTATACGCCAGACGCGCGTTTTGTCTACAAAAGACTCATCACTGACGCTCGAAAAATAAAAAAAGTTAAAAAAAGGCCAAATACAGTACGAAGTTGAAGAGCATTGAGGACCCAAAGTTCCTAAAGGTTTTGGCAAATAAAGCTAAGGTAATCTATTCCTGTGAGTAAAGGTGATCACATAGAAGGAATACGTATTGTATACATAATCAGATTATCTAATTATATGATTCCAGATCCTTAGCTTTATATAAACTACAGTATAATGCTTTGAGGAAAGACTTACGAACATCTTCAATTATTGTGTTTGTAACACAAATGTATGCATGTATAAAAATTTACACTGTGTGCATATTGGCCCGACTGTAAATTACCTTAGTTCAGTTTCATTCTAATGTTAATACATTTACATATACAAAACAAGTTTTACAATTATATCCCAAAATCAAATATTCTGACGAGATTAAAGTTGCTTGACACATTTTCCAAATTGTCTCCCTTTTTTATGTCGAAAAATGAACAAGAAATGGAGATATCTTGTACAAAGAAGTGTGGATAAGGTGTTTTCATTGGTATCGGTTTTCATTTTTGGATTAATCCAAGTTGCAAATATTGTTTTGAAAATAAAAATACTTAATTTAGAAACTGAAATTTTTTAAATAATTTTACTTACATAAAACCGAAGCAGTTGCTACTTCAAGGGTGTGACCCTTAAAAACAGACAGTTAGACTACAATTTGAGCAAATTTGAACTTCTTGGATTACCTTCCAGACCATAGTTGGGTGATATTTGAAAGTTCCAATTAAGCGACTGTACCAGAGTTTATCAAAGTATGATGCATTTGTACTGGCAAACTTTCCATTTTCAACATTACAACTAATTTCTTTATTCCATTTACCAGAACAAATCTAGTTACGTTATATTTGTTAAAACTCATCATAGATACTAGGATTACAATGTTGTACACCGGACACGCGTTTTGTCTACAAAAGACTCATCAGTGACGCTCGAATCAAACAATCAAATTGTTTTTTTAGCAATAACTAAAAGTGAAAATATAATTTGATTGTTTAATAATACCATCGCTCTCGGTGTCATTTGTTTTAAAATCCCTGTTTCATATGTTTGGGTCCTTATATCATAGATGACCTCCTGTACGTGTATACAGAAGTATTAATAAAAATAAGCAGCTTTACAAAAATTTCTGTATTTTATATTTGTATTGCATAATGTAATTTTAAATAGAAACAGATGTATATAAATTAAAGATAACTTTTTGTATTTCAACTGTGCATTGTGAGAATGACTTGGAAATAATCATAGTTTAATCAATTTAAGACGTGCGGCAACAAGGCAATTTTTTTTGGTCTGAAGTGCAGGTCACAAACGTTACTTCATATTGCAGACCCTATGGGCACATTTTTATAAATCGTTTCCGATGTATATCTTAAGAACCTCTTAGTTTGAAATGATGATACTTTGTATAATTGTTATCCACTAGAAAATGTATCGTAAATGAAGCTTAAGGTCAAAGTCACAAACTTATTCTAATTCTAGAGACCCTTGGTTCATAAGTAAACATCGTGTCAATTATGTATTAAGTGTGCTTCATCATGTTCGATGGTGATAATTTGAATGATTGGTTACTATAGCGCACTACTATGTAATGTGACGCCAAAAAGGTTAAGCTAACCGTTCACAAATTCTTCGTTGATAAATTTTGAATCTATTTTGAGACTACGGTTCCAACTTTCTCAGGAAAAGTGACCTCAGATGGATTTTGCTATTCCATTTATCATTTGGTCATGTATATGCATGGCTCTTCATGTAGTCATGTACTTTCATGTCACTGTCTTTCAATTATGACGAAACTTTATGAAGTGTTATTTTCTTTTTAAAAATTTAGATTGTAGAGCAAGGTCACAATCCTACTTGTACTTCAACATATTTTGTCTTTGGTATTATATATATAACAAATATGATTTGACACAAGTTATCAAAAGTTAAACAGATTTATAGATTTGCACAAATGAAAAAGATTTACTTATCCTTCTGAAGCACCTAAGATCACCCTCAGTATCTAGTGGCGTTCATTTTACTGTGTATTTAGTTTTCTATGTATTGTTTTAGGGGCCGCTGTTAGTCTATTCGTCATTTTGCGGTTTTTAGCACGATATTGTTCGTTTTCTTGCGACTCATGATTTTTATTGTCTAATTGGTCACTTTCTATTTTTATATATGCAATAGTTAGATTGGGACACGATCATTGAAAGAAATCAATCCGACGGCAACTAGTTCTTTCAAAAATAAATAACTTCACGAACTGAACCATAGTTTCATGCTGCATGTTTTTATCGAGTAAAAGAGAGGCGAAAGATACCAAACTCAGACATTCAAACTCATAAGTCGAAAATAAACTGACAACGCCATGGCTAAAAAAGAAAAAGACCAACCGACATTCAACAGTACATAAAACACAACAAAAAAACTAAAGACTGAGCAACACGAACCCACCAAAAACTGGGGGTGATCTCGAGTAAACATATGGGTATGACACGAATAAGAATAGAATTCATAGAATGAAATTTAAAGTCACAGTCTAAGTGTATTGTTTAAGACCCATTGTCCATGGTAACAAATGTCATATCTGTGTTAAATGTCATTATTTTATCATTAATACTAAGTTTTTGTCAGGGATATTTTTGAATTAAGTGATAAATGTTCTTGTATATTGGCCCAGTCTCTTGCTGAGATTTGAAAAAAATAACCAAAACGGAGAAAGAGACAGACATACAAGCAGACCCCTCTACAGATGAACTCTATATCAAATGTATCTTATTACTTTTGATTCATGAAAAATCGTTTCGTTTATTCGATCTCTCAACAACTACACATCACAAAATTGCAGCTATTGTCATAAAGTCAAATATATATAAAACGCGCGTCTGGCGTACACAATTTTAATCCTGGTATCTATGATGAGTTTATATTTAAACGAAGAACTGTTAAATGACATGAATGAATAAAAGCAAACAAAAGTAGAAATAGAATAAAAAAAGTTTGTATTAAAAATTAACTACAAAAAAGTGAAATAAAAATGATGATATTGGGGACTTATCCCAGTCGTCTGCGTTTTAAGGACAATAATCTACATCTTTTAGTCAATCCAAAATCATACAAGTCGTAATTTTGGATTGATGTCATCACATACGTCATCGTTTTGCCATTTGTTAAGGGATTTTCCGTTTTGAATTTTCCATGGAGTTCGGTATTTTTGTTATTCTACTTATTTTCCATTATAATCTGTTGTAATCTACTTATCCTTAAGAAACTATATAAACTTTTAAATTTGAGAATTTTAACAAAACGTTTCATGTCAACCAACGAAAGCTTGTTTAACTTATATGGACTCGCTTATCAACTGCGACAATAAACAGTAGTTCTTTCTGATCCTGCACTCGGGTTAAAAAGAAAATTACAATGTCTTCTCTATAATCCTTGCTTAGATAAACCAAAAAATGAATAATAAAAATAACTTCTGTAAGGATTTGTAGAAAATAAAACCGAATCTATGTACATGAATCAAGTGTGAAAGATAATTTC